GCGAGCTTGCTGTACGGCCGCGGCCAACAGGTGCTGCAGGGGGTCGAGTGGGGTGAGAGGGGGGTTGGTGAGGTGGGGAAAGGGCCGATACTGCAGTCCAGCAGTGGTGCGGGAAACAAGGAGGCCAAACAGCTGTGCGGGTATCCTGTTTAGGAAGGCGAGCTGGATACACAAGTGGGGTGCAAATCTCCACCATACTTGTTGTCATATCACCGTACGGTTCTGACAACTTGAGCCTCTTTTCCCTCCCCCCTCCTCACCTTGCGCTCGTCCTCAAATCCCGGCGCTGTCCTGTCCAGCAGCGCCAGTAGGCACATACCCGCGGGCTCCGTACAGTACGACTGGAACTCAGCCTGGTTGGTGATCTGTCGAGCCAAACAACACGGGACAAGTCTCAGGTACAGGGAGGACACGGCGCCAACAGAGGCCCAGGTGGGCACGCGATTTGTACACAGATTAGAAGAGGATATACGGAAGGTGTACGACCATGCGTCCCCACAACTGCGGTACGGCGTCCAGGACGACCCTGTGAACTAAAGTTACGGCGTCACTTGACACACACGCGCGGTTGGGTAGCCCGTACTATCGCTGAATGTGTACGACAGGCGTGGGCAGTACACATACCTGCTCTGGGTCCCCCTCCACTCCACACCTCATCTCCTATGGCCCCCCTACCCCCCATCCCATTGGCATTCGGATTCCCGCATGCCCCCCTTCCATCCCCGCACACACATACACAGGCACATACCGCCGGTCATCATACATACAAACACACAGACATGCACACACAGACATGCACACACACACACACACAGGACCCCCTTGCTCGCCACTCACCTGCGGCAACGTCTTCTCAATCACCCCGGGGTCGGTCACCACACCTGCCACCACAACCAGCAGGCTTTGTCAGCACCCAGGTGCGGGAAATTGTGAACTTGTGCGGGTACCTACTTGTGCTGCACGCCCCCGACGCCAGCGTCCCCAACCCGAGCCCCCCCAACCATCCCCCCAGTCCAACCCCACCACTCCATCGTAGCTGTTCTTCATGAGTGCGCGCCTCCTTTTTTTCCTTCTCAACCCCCTACCCTACCCCCCTTCGCCGCCCTTACGTGTCCCACCCCATTGCCCCCAATACCCCCCCCTCCCCTCCTGGACAATCCCCCCTGCCCACACACAAATCCCGCCTCCCCCCCCCACCCCCCTCACCCGCAGATGCCTCTATCTGTTCGGCCAGCTGCTCCAGAAAGGCCCTCATGGGGCCGTACTTGAGCGGACCGAAGTACGGCTGCATGCCGAAACTAACCCGGGGACCACCCCCACCGCCACTTCCCTCAGCATCTTCATCACCCGGCCTGGGCGGTGGGAGAGCATGTCCGTGTATACATGTATGTGTGTATGTATGTAAGTGTAGGTTTGTAGGCTTGGGTGGGTTCGTGTGGAATGGTTGAGAAGGGTTAGGAGGGGGATAGGTAACACCCACCCACACTCTTTCCAACCCCTCTACACACTCAACACAAGAGTGGGGGAAGAAGGCAGACACTGTACAACAGTACGGACAGGCAGGCGCGTACCCGCAATACTTAGGACCCCATGCCGTACAAGAATCGTACACTTACACAATGGTGGGCAGTACGACAAGTAGTGCAGGCACCCGTGGAGGTTTGAAGGAGTTGATGGTCGAGCGGGCGGCGGGGCTGTTTGCCTGGGTGGGTGGGGGTGTGTGGTGCGGAAAGGGGGGAGGGTAGTCGTCCACATCCTCGTGTGGTGCTGGGCTCGATGATGATATCCAGCCGGGGCGAGGGGGGGTAGTTTGTCGAAGGGGGTGTTGCCGCCGAAGACGTGTATGTAAACTATATCATCTGTAGGTGGAGTATAGGGACCGCCACGTCATCTCCGGCTACTTCCGTGGGCGCAAGATGCGCAAAGCCCTCTCCTCCCAAACGTGACGCGAAGTGACGCAAGCAAGGAGCGCAGCACTACGACGACTCTTACCTACCTACGTACCGTATGAGCACGGCAACATCCCACCAAGGGCCAATCAATGCACGCGGGAAAGATAAGGACGGGGTTTCGCAATTCCGGGAGCAGATCGAAGCGAAGGGAAGTCCCATGCCTGCATGCGATGGCATGGCGTGGCTATGTGCGCCGAAAGCTAGGAAATCTCGACCTAGAGTAGTAATGGTGAGGTGACGCTGCCACTGAACTATGTAAAGATAGAAAGGGAGATCGCCGTAATGCCATACTATCGCCTGCCGTACGGAGGAAGAAATTGGAAGAAATAACGCCGAACCAAGAATGACCATAACCTTAATGAGGAAAGGGCAGAGGGGCCAAAGAAAGGTAATGAAGAGGCAACGAGGGAAAGAAGAGGACAAGACGTAAAGAGACACCCGCCCGCCCGCAGGGAACACGACGAGGGAACGACAGCCTGAGGGCAACAAAGCGGTTGCTGGGGCCCTGCGGTAGGGTCGTTTCTTTATCGGTCGGTTGGAGGTTGGGGTTGGGGTTGGGGTTGGGGGGGTTTCCTGTGACACGGCCCAACGGCCCAACGGCCCGGTAGACCCATGTGGTGCTGCGATTGGTGTACGGTGTACGCGCAATAGCCCTCAGCAGTCCCCAAATGTAAACCCCAGGTGCACACATCTTACTGCCGTACAGACGTACACCCTTACCTGCACCCATCCAAACGCCATGTTCGCTCGGTCCCTCAGCGCCACTGCCAGGGCCTTGTACACACCGGGGACCTCATCCCGGTTGGTGAACAGCAGCACCTGAGGGCGGGTGAGGTCCAGGTCGGAACGTACGTATGTACATACATACATACATACATACATACATACATACATACATACATACATACATACATACATACATACATACATACTACATGCGTACATGCGTACATGCGTACATGCGTACATACATACATGCGTACATGGGCTTCAGGACCGACAGATATGCTAATGTCCCGACATAAGAGCGGGATAATTCTCCCTCGACTGTGATAAGGGGGTGGATGCACCCCCCATGATGATTGACGGTCCCGGTTGTAGTGAGAGAGATCTGCGAGCCAACCAGGGGCGGGAGTGGAGTTGGTGCCGCCGTTGCTGGTGCTGATGGTGGTGGTGCCGCCGTTGCTGGTGCTGATGGTGGTGGTGCTGATGGTGGTGGTGCTGATGGTGGTGGTGCTGATGGTGGTGGTGCTGATGGTGGTGGTGGGGTGCTGAACCCGAAAACATCACTGTCTTCCCAGCAGTCGCGACATTCGTGATTGACCAGAAGGACGAACCCTCTCCCCGCCCCCTCTCCCCGCCCCCTCAGCCCTTCCACCTGCCTTTGGCGCCACCCCCATCTTCCCCTCGGACGGGTCGGTAGTGAGGAAGTCCGAGGTGACGTCATCTGTCAGCTGCACCACGCGGTGCGCCTCGGGGGGCAGCTCTGCGGTGACCCACCGCTGCAGCTCCTTGCCGTCGGGGGGCCCCTGGGGGCGCAGAGGGAAGGGAAGGGGGGAGGAAGACAAACCACAGACGAGTGGTGGGGACGAAGTGCGAGTGGTGGGGGGGGAGGGAAGGCCCTGAGAGCTCTCTGTACCCGCGGACCATCCCCGGGGCCCCGGGCTCCCCCACCTCGTAATTAGTCGGTGGTTCGACCCGTAATCAGAGTGCGGTTGCCTCGCGCCTTCTCGTCACTACCTCGTTCTTTGCTTGGCCCCTTCCACCCCCCTTTCTAGGGGCCCCAACACGTACATTCATACATACATACATACATACATTCATACATACATACATACATACATACATACGTACCGTGTATCTAAGCTGGATATCCGCCTTGCCCTTACCAAAGGGCAGCAACACTACCTGGGGTGTGTGAGGAGGGAGGGAGGGAGGAAAGGGAACAATAACGGGAGACGCTGGCTAGGCGGGTGAGGCTGGGTGGCGGTAAGATTATGTCACACACACAGCCAGGCACTGGAGGCGATCTGGGGGGTTGGGCCACAGACTAAAACATAAGACAGATGAACACGATGAAGCGTAGTGGAAATCGTAAACTCTTGGACAAAACCTTGGACTTGGAAGCCAAGGAATCTTCCTCCCCTTCAGATTCAGAATTGTTTCTCTTCTCGTAAATATGAGGCGCAATGAACCGTAATTAATAACAGGTATGACCTTCCCTCCAATCTTGTCGTCCTCGTCTCCCTGCTTGTCATCACTTAATCCTGCCGTACACCCACCTGCAGCTCGCACGGGTTCTCCGCCAGCTCCTTCACCTCCACCCCGATGCGGCTCAATGCCGCCGCCCCCTTCGAGCCGGGTGCCAGGTCCTCGGGGGGCACGGAAGCCAACCATGTGTCCACTACCGCCTGGCTTGCAGGTCGGTGGGTCGGTGCTTGGGGTTATAAAGGCGGCAATCGAGCCGAGTGGGCCCACAGGAGGGGTCGGGTCAGGGCAGGTCGGGTAAGGGGCTCCGTTGCGCTCAGTCCAGTCGGCCTGCTCGGCCTCCTGGCGGTGGTGGCACAGCTCAGGACAGCTCAGGCAGGGAATGCTTGGTGAAAGGTGCAAGGTGCAAGGCCAGTCCATTAAGGAGGGCCACCCCCCCCCACACACACACACCTGCATCTCACCCGCGGCGGCCAGGAAAGTCTCCCGGGCGACCTGGCAGCCCTCCTCACCTGCGCCACCCCCCAATGGGATCGGGTTGCAGGGGGAGGGGGCCAATCAATCAGGGCTGTATGTCGACATGTGGCGCTGGCGGGGTTGAGATCCTGCGGGGTGCTCCCGGGGCTCATCGTCCTGGCCCGGTCCCAGTCCCAGTCCTAGGGGGAACACCCCCTCCAGTCACCCCAAATTCCCCCCTCACCCTCCCTCCCTCCCACCGTCCGCTCCATGCACCGCCAGCAGGGTCATGTCCTCCCGCGCCTCCAGGGAGGGCAGGTCAGCGATGAGACTATCCACCTGGTGGTAAGGGCCCGAGGGGCCGTGCGGGGGCGTGAGGGGTGTGAGGGGTGTCAGTCGGGGAGTAGTAGATGGAGTCGAAACACGGGGAGGTCAGGGAGGCCGTATGTGCGGCCGGGGGGGGGGGGCCGCCAGGGGGGTAGCCAGGGGGAGCTGAAGTCGGGAGGGAAAACAACACACCCGGGGTTCGGCGGGGTCATGGAGTATGGCATGGATTATATTATCGTACGACGTACGGGAAGAGAGAGTTTAGAGAAGCGAGCGGTCATGCGGAGTACCTTGTGAGACCCCAAACACACGACCTGTCGTACCTGCCGTACAAATGACCAGGCGGTCGCCTTGCCGCTGCCGTCGGGCCCTTCGCCGTCAGCGCCTGCAGAACCTCCCCCCGCCCCCAGGGCTTCCGAGCTCATGAAACCCATCAGGAACTCCCCAAGCGCCGGCGCCTTGTTCTCGCCCGTGTACGTTTCCACAGCGCCCCCGGCCTGCCGTACGGGGTAAGGAAAAACTAGTCGTATGCACACTTTTTGGCGTGAGTCCCGTACGGAGGCGCGAGGAGCGACCCGTACGGGTGTGGGGCGGCGGGGGGCCCGGGGACCTGGTCGTGTCCGCACTTTGCACCCCCGGCCTTCTGCGAAGTACGATACTCAAATATGAGCGACGTTGCCACAAGCTGCAGGCATAGTATTTGGGTTTTTGTTCCCTTCGCTTCCCAATCCCGCTTTACTGCGCATCCCACCCTTGGTTCACCGTCATGTCGGCGGTGCCGAGGAAAGGCTATCCTTTTCCTCCCCCTGTTGCCCGGCAACCCGCTCCTCACACACATCGCTTCAACCTCCCGCTGTTCCTTTCCACTGCTCCCCCCGCTGATCGAGTCCCACCGGAACCGGAAGTATTCCTCTTCTTGGGCGGTTGACATTCTATATCCCCAATCACCCGTCCCTCCCCCAACACACACACACACACACACACATACACACACGCACACACACGCAACCCCAACCAACCGTTCAATCCAACCACCTCACAACCCACCTTTACCACCAGCAACGAAGGGAGGCTCTCCACCCCGAACTTCCTCAGCACCCCCTCACGCTCCGCAGCGGGACCCCCTTCATCCCCCGCCGCCACCACCACCATCCCGAACGCCAGCCCCCTCCTCAGCTGCATGGACAGGCCCTTGTACACGGGGGTCGCCGCCTCCTTGTCAGTGAATAACAACACCTGACAGCGGGGGTGTGGGAGAGGGGGTGTGGGAGGGGGTGTGTGGGAGAGGGGGTGTGGGAGAGGGGGTGTGGGAGAGGGGGTGTGGGAGGGGGGGTATGGGAGGGGGAGGGGAATCACGTGAACGAGTGAAGCTGACGCCAAGGATAGACTGATACACCCAACAGAAGTATGTGACTAGAAGTAACTAACCAGTCGTGACTTGTGGAAAAAGGATAATCTTCGCGGTGATGTTAGTAGTCATGAAGCGGAAAACTACCTACCTAGCCGCCAAGTCCAAAATAGGATGCAGAAAGAAAGGAAAAAAAGATCCGTAGTATTCTAAAAACAAGTGTAATAAAGGCAGTGAAGAACAAAAAGTTCCGTAAGCTGACGCGAGTTGAAACAAGACGAGGTGGCGTATACGGTGACGTATAAGCTTACGTAAGCTGTATGGGAGGGGGCGGGGAGGACCCGTACCTGCGGTTTGCCCGCCGCCTCCGCCGCGGCCCTCATTTGCTCCAGATCCGCAGTACTCCGTACTCGTGTGATGTGTACGTCAGTCAACAGGCGCGTGACCGCCTCCTTGAGGTCCTTGGAGGTCCGGTCACCTGAAGGCGGGAGAGAAGGGGGGAAGAAGCGGGGGAGAGCATGTGTATGTGTATGTGTATATAATGAATGTGTATCTGTAATGTGATGGAATGGAAAAATGGTAGGAGTAGTAGTACTGCGTCATTTGCGTCGTTTGTATGCAAGTAAATAAGTAAATAAGTATGCAGTAGGCAAGTATGTCTGTCTGTGTCTGTCTGTGTTGGCTCCCCAACTACGTAGACGCGCCCCAGCCGTCTCGAGGGAGTCAAACCCTCCAGGAGGGGCAGCGACGGCCTACCTTGTGCAGCTAACCATGCCAGCAGTACTCGCAAAGTACGAATTCGCAACGTTTTGTCGTTCGCCGTACACCCTCACAACTCTAACTCCCTCTTGCCCACCCACACAAAAACCAACCGGTGTAATCGGACGGCTCCTTCATCACTTCCCCAGTGTACGGATTCTTCGTACGGTCAGGTCCGAACAACTGTACGGCAAAGGGAAGAGAAAGGGAAGCGGGGCGGATTTCAACAAGGAGACCAGATCCAAAACAGATCCAAACACCACAGGGCAGAGAAATTCCCGCCCCCAAGTTCTTAAGGCAGTCGACGATGTTGCTGGGATCTGCCGTACAATGTCTTTGGAACTTGTATATACGAGCGGATTTCTACCTTGACGGCCGGGAAGCCTCGGACGTTGTACCGCTGGCACAGGTTGCCGGCGGCTTCCTTGTCCGTACAGTCCACAGCACCCACGAGTGCAATACCCTGCTCAGGGTTCGGACACAGGAAGGGGCCGGGGGCCGGGGGGGGGGAGGGGGCCGGGGGGTAGGGGCACCATTTAGGTGAGGTGTCGGTCAGTGAGTGGTCAAACGGTAATGGGCAGTGCGGACCACCCGGGGGACAACGGGAGAGTGAAAAGAACGGGGCACTCAACGCGGGAGGAGGGAAGGTGGATGCCTGCAAACAAACCCACCTCGCCCATACTGCCGTCCTGCTGCCTCAGGGTCTAGTGGAATCATCAAACATCCCTTCTTGCAGCATATCAACGCTAATGCATGTACGACACTGTACAGATATCACCCTGTCGTACCTTTAGATTGGAGGCTACCGAGTTTATCCTTGACGCCAGGCTTTTGCATTGCGGATTCCCAGGTGCATAGAACTGCCGCATGCATGCGCACGCAAGGGCCGAGGAAAAGGGGGGCGATGAATAGGCGGTGGATGTGGGTGTGTATACCTTCAAATCGGACATGTTAACTAAGTGCGCCCCCCCCCTTCGAAGGAAAGAGGAGACGAGGGGAACATAAGGAAAAACACCTTGCTCATCACCTCCTCCCCGCCTCTCGTGTGCCCCTTCCCCGCCTCTCGTGTGCCCCTTCCCCCCCGCCTCTCGTGTGCCCCTTCCCCCCCGCCTCTCGTGTGCCCCTTCCCCGCCTCTCGTGTGCCCCTTCCCCCCCGCCTCTCGTGTGCCCCTTCCCCGCCTCTCGTGTGCCCCTTCCCCCCCGCCTCTCGTGTGCCCCTTCCCCCCCGCCTCTCGTGTGCCCCTTCCCCCCCGCCTCTCGTGTGCCCCTTCCCCCCCGCCTCTCGTGTGCCCCTTCCCCGCCTTAGCTCCACCCACTCACATGAACCTGCAGGGTGTTGGGAGGGACGTTAGGACACAGAAGACGGAGAGGGGTTTGCCAGGTGTGTTGTATGTACACGTTGCAAATTAACGGCGCATCCTTTTCGGCATAGCGTGTGTGCACAGGAGTGGAGCTTGGAAAGCTGTATGCCCGTGGAGGATCTGGAAAGCATTTTCATCGCAAGCCAATTAAAATATGCGGGGCAGCATTGTGGATATGAAGTAAGCAGCTTTGACGGAGGTTGCAGAAAGGTCACGTGCAGTCGATGTGCAGTGATCCTTGATGGTCATATGGAGACATGCCTATTACCCACTTCCCCCACGACTCACCAGTGCTACGCCATCCGAGTTCACGACAAGTTGATCAAAATTAGCTGCACTAAGCTCCGTGACATCACTGTACGTGAAGTATGCGGCGGACACGTAGCCTGTAAGCACGAAGATCAAGGGCAAGCCCAGCCCCCATCTTGCAAGGAAGCACGCCCTAAGCACGGATATCATAGCTTGTTATAGCAAGGTAAGAAATCTTTGCCGTTTCTCCGTTGGCACCGGTCCAAGGCATAAAACGAGGAAAACTTGGAATATTACATAAACATGCCTCAAGCCGTTTGTGTTGCCTTTACACAGTCACCCGTTTCTGTTGATTGCTATTCACATAGGGATAGGCCGGATAGGGACGGATTCATCATCTCGTACTGTACAGCACCGGCATTGGGAAAATTTACAAGCAGCACAACCGGGGCTTGCTATTGGCTCATGAATCAAGTAGCAATACTGCTGTATCTGCATCATCAACTAAAAGCAGTTGGCTTGTTTAATCTACGTGGCATGCTGCAACATGAATTCTTGCCGCAACCGTAAATTAAAAAAGCCTACAACACGGTCACTGCCCTGAATAGTGCTTGGCGCTGTCAGGATGGCAATCACCAAGAATTACAATAAAAGGGCACCCGAAGCGTCGAAAGGACGCACAACCTGTGCAAATACGCTGCCTTCAAACAGGACAAGGCTCTGCTGGATATGCACAAGATATTCCACTGTGTTGATTTGCAGTGGGGCTATCGTCAATGTCAATTGCAAGGAGTATCGTTCGTACAGGGAGAGTGTTGCCGCCCACCCTGCAGCCTGTTAGGTAGAGAGCATTCCTATTTCGGAATGAAATGGGAAAAATAGACGAAACTCAACGACTCCCATGAACCCCACTCGTGTATTGCAAAATTCAGTAATCCTGCAGTAGAACAGACAAATACTTGTGTTTTCTTATTAGAAGCCCGAGTAAGCTGCAATTCCTGGCCGTTATGGCAGTACCTTGTCATTGAGGTACGGCGGCAGGCCACGACGCACCATTGGTAACTGACGGCAAATCAATCTTCTAAAGGCACGTGCATTGCTTTCACTGCATAACATGGAGGCGTCCTCTTACGTGATTGTGTAGCGGACGTCCTGCCAGCACGTCGAAAGGCGATGCCCGAGTGAGCGCTCAATCTTGTACTTCCACGCCACTTCATTAGGTACATAATTGTATAATTTTTAAGGGATGAGATACAAAAGAAGGCGCGCTCCGGCTTGCTCTGGCTCAGATGGGGAAGATGAGATACTGCCGTCACAGCATAGGAAGCGTGCCATCGACGCGATGGAAGGCCGCTTGGCCAATCTTGCTGGTGAGGTCTCAGCCCTGCGAAGCCAGCTTGAAGATCTGCGGAAGCTCCACGGGGAGCTGGCAGCAGAGGGCGACTTGTTGCACGCTCGCCTTCAGAGTCTTCCGGAGAACACTAAGCATAACAGGTGAATCCGGTGATCAGGGATATCAGATGGGCATCCTTCCCCTGCGTGTCGGTGCGTTGCGCGTTCACAGTTCGTAAGGAATAGACGCCAACTTGCATAATTTTTTGTCTAGCTCTTTGGCGTGTTGTGATTTTTATGTTTTTGTAATTCTTCCCTACCTAAAGTCATGGATATTTGGAGCTGCTATTGTTATCCATTGCCTTACTGGCTGACTTGTCGAGTATTGTGCACAGGTCTTCGGATGAACACGCTCTGGGCTCTGGCTCGACCCGTGGCAGCGACCCTGGTAGCACTTTCCATTTTTCTATGTTCACAACGGCAGAGCCGTCTTCTCCCGGCGGCCATGCCTCGGTCGATCGCCGGTATCCACAGTCCAAGTCCCGCGCCGTGGCGCCCGACTCCCGCAGCGCAGGTAAAGAACCACATGGAATTCGCGGTGAACAGGTGTTCTACCTTTTCATGTTATCCTATTATTATCATCCTTTTTCCTTTGCATTCCCAGCTATCAACCTATTTGCTCTCGGACGTGGCACTGCCTTATCCCGCAGACGATCACGCTGAGCATCTAGCTCAGGGACCCCCTTTGGCTCTGGATCCTTGGGACGAAATTATGATGTCCAACTACAACGATGACGGTCCGGAGCCCGACGGGCCTTCGCACTTAGCCGCGGGAAGCACCACCGGCAGCCCCGCGACGGGCCTGAACGCAACCCTAAACACGTCTACCCCTCGGCTGCCGGGTTCCGGAGTCGCCAGTGTTGGTAATCTCTCCTCCACTCCTGGAGTAGGTGGTGGTGGCGGCGGGGCCCCCGCCCTGGCAGCACCTTTGGCCGTAGGGGCCGCAGGGCAGCTTGATTGCTCTTCGCCTGCTGCGGCTGCTGCTGCGGCAGGGGCATCGACAAGGCCCTCTGAGCCAAGCGGCGGCAGTGGCGAAGAGCCGGGATTTTCTGTCGTACCTGCAGCAATGGATCCTCTTTGCTGGCAGCAGCAGCAACAACAACAGCATCTGTCAGGGTTTGTGCCGCCGTGCAACGTGGAGGGTAGCTTTCCGAACCCGCTGGAGCACCCGCTCCAGCTTCAGCCACCTCCCCACCTGCAGCCGCCAATACAGGAGCAACCGCAGCTCCACGCCGGGCAGCAGCAGCACCCGTACACTGCAGGAGCTTTGAGGCAGCCAGCGGTAACCTGCTCATTGTCGCTCCTCGGGGATTTACCTCCTACCTCTCCGCAGCCCGTCCAGTCGCGACAGCTTCCATGGCAGCAGCAGCCGCACCTGCCGCTGCCAGCCAGCAGCCATCAGGAGCTCGAGGACACGGCGGCCCGTCAGAGCACGGGGGACCAAGGTGCACGCTGGTCGGCAGCCCCTCCGCACTTGGACGGGGCCGCCAACGCACACTTGCGGGGATCGGGCGGCGGGGAAACCGCCCCGGGAGGTGCAGCCGCTGTCGGCGGCAGCGTATGTAACGGTGCTGCTGCTTCACCATACGCCTCGGCAGCGGTGGAGGCGGCAGTGGTGGTGGTGGGGGATGGAGCGGCTGGCCCCGCGGATGACATGGGTGCGTGGCTTGCATCTGGCCGAGCGGCGACGGCCGCCGGGCCGCTGAGCGGCTCTCCCTCTCCTGCGTTGACGCTCACCGGCGGCATCGGCCCCCCGGCCGCCGCCGCCGCCGCCGCCGCTCCTTCCGGGGCAATGTACCCAAACCCGTTCCTTCGCAGCGACTCCCGGGGCCTTTCGCTTGCGAGCAGGTTGAGCGGTGGTGTCATACGCGGCGGAGTGACTCGAAACGGCAAGTGCTACGCCGGCGGCGGCGGCCCCGCGGCGGCTGCGGCGGCCTTGCTGCATGGCGCTGGGATGTCACCCGTCTGCGGTCTGGGGCCGCTAGGGGCCACGGGTTTGGGGGTAGGTGCCGCAGTGGGGGGAGAGGCAATGGCTGCGCACGGGGTGAGGGCAGCAAGGGCAGGTGGTGCCGGGGCCGTTGCGCTGCCCGGCGCTTCGTATTCACCTCCTCCCCCCCCTTTTCCCCTCATCCTTCGGGGCTCGTCCGCATCCTCCACAGAAAGCGCCATAGCAGCACTACAGCAGCAGCAGTCGTTTTATAAACCGGAGCCGCAGGGAGATTGTGCTACCGGGTCATGTGGCGCGGCGGAGAGGGGCCTGCGGGGGGCTGGTGGGGGTTTTGTCGGGGTCGGGGCTGGCCTCCTGGGTGGTGGAGGTGGTCAGCAACAGCAGCAGCAGCAGCAGCAGCAGCAGCAGCTCCAAAGGGGCGACCCCACGGTGGCCCTCGGGGAGGTCGGTGGCAGCGGCGGCGGAGAGCAGCAAGAAGGCAACCAGCAGCAGCGCCAGCAGCAGTCGCTGGCTTCGCCGATGTGGCCTGGGACCGGCACCGCTACCGGCACGGAAGGTCCTTCCATGGCTGATATGGCAGCAGCGGCGGTGCAGCAGCAGCAGCAGGACGGGGGATGGGCTTCCACGCGGCATACTAACCCCGCCGCTGTGCCACTGAAGATCACAAAGGGCATGCGCCTGATAGGCAGNCGGCTGCAAGAGGTTAAAGCCTGACTTCTGCTCCCGGTCGACCCGGGTTCAAATCCGCCTGCCGACCTCTCGGGTGTTTGAGAGGTGGTGAAATGGGAGGTGGCCCCCCATCTTGTGGACGGTGTAGGACGTGATAAAATCAACTCGCGAGCTGACCAGGAACTAAGTTGAGGCGCCGTCGATCCGCTAGATTTGGTTGGATGCTGGTGGTGAGTTGCCAAACTCAAAGAGTACACTCTGAAGTCGGATGGGGTGAATGGCTTAGGGTGCCCCTCTAGCAGGGGAGAGCAGGGAATTGCCTCGGGAAGGAGGCCACTGGTGAAGCTTAACCACCCTGTAACAACATCAACATCAACAAAAGCGCAGGAGTGGGGAGAGATGGCGGGTAATGGCGGGAAGGCCTACCAACAGCAGCAGCTCGGCCGCGACAGCAATGTCAATAGCAGTGGCAGCCCACTGAATCAGCCCACGCAATCATCGGGCTCTGCCGGTGGTGCGGCGCCATCACCATCCCCGGCACCCACACCCACACCCACAGTCCCCGGGCCATCATCTCTCCCTGGAGTCCCAGGTTCGTACGGCCATTCCCATCCGTACAATATGCCGTACGGTCCGCAGCCTCCGCCAGTGTTTGCGGCGCCGTACAGCAGCCCTAACCCATTGCCCATTAGGTGCGGCAGCGGATCCGCGTTGGACCGGTCTGTCGAGTGGCGGCGGGCGCCGGGTGTACGGCACCCGGCCATGTCGCCGCTGGCTCCGCCGACGGGGGATGCCGTTGCCGGGGCCATCTCGCCGCCGCCGCCGGGCCTCGGGTCGGAGCCGGACGCGCCACATCTACAATGATAGCAGCCTCCCTAGCACAACAGCCTCCCTAGCTGGCTGTGGCGACAATTGCCCAACACTATGACTTGGACAGCGGCCTGGGGCAGGAGGGAGAGGGAGAGGGAGAGGGCGGGCAGCAGCGCAGGCGTTGACAGTTAGCAGTTAGGTGACGGCACTAAAACGGGGGTGTGATCCCCATCCCGATGTTACTCGGGCATACTCGGGCTTCCGTGAGCCAGCTGGCTAGCAGTGTCATGTTGCTGTCGCTTTGGTGCCGCTGCCGGGACCACCCTGGAAAGGCCGACTGGGGTGGGTCCGTCGGTTCGTCCGTCTGTCCGTCTGCATGTTTGGCTCTCTGATTGCCCTTCTGCCTTAAGGAGCTCTGGCTCAACCGCAGATAGATAATCGACTGCAACCTCTGTTGGTCTGTCCATGTCTTTTCATGCCTTGTCTGTATGTTTGTCTGTTAAGTTGCTTTGCTCGTGAGGCTGTCGTACGGTGATCTGCGACCGCCTCCAGCCCGGCCTCGCCGTTCTACTCTGTGTACGGCACACATGGGTAGGGTAACATAGGGCCACATACCTGGGGGGTTGCAACTGCATGGCATATGTATGCCGTACATGCCGGGTGGCACTTCCCGAGATGGGCTGGATGCACTGGTCATGATGGCGCGCATCGGAGGCGTGGAGAGGTGAAATGAGGGACGAGGATACGCCTGGACTGTACTGCAGAGGAAGGGGGAAGGGCAGGGGAGGCTGCCAAGTTTGTGTTTGTGTATGTCGGGGGGCTATGGGGAGGTGTCGACGACTCCCCTGCCCACCTGCCCACCTGGAATAGCGGTGGTTGGCGAGTGCGTGGGCTGCTTGGTCTGCATATCCTCCTCCGCGTTCGCACTCCCCTGGAGGTATTGTGTTGCGCTGTGCTGTGGGCCTCGGCCGCCGCGTTTCGCTCCTGACTCCCGCGCGGTTCACTTTCCTCTCCTCTCCGGCTTGATGGACTGGACTTCCTGCCTTCTTTCGCCTCATGGGTCTTATGAGGGGTGTTTGCACGTTGGCAGGATGGCAGGATGGCAGGGGGTCACGGGGGGTCACGGGAACATGACGGTGGTGACTGCGCCCCCCCCCATAGCCGCATACATCCAATCAGTAAGACAGTAAGTCACCTCCCTTGCATGCAGCAGCTTCTTGCAGCTTCCTTCCAGCACACTGCGTTCATACGCGGGCCTGCGCTCAGACAGTGCGATGCCAGGCAAGAGTGGCGATGATGACAAGCGGTACAAGCGGTACAGCAGCACCCCCTCGCGGCTAGGCTACGGTCCTTCATGGGCCGGCGGTGCCTGGCATTTGTACGACTGTAGTAGTGGCTGGGTGTGTAGTAGTGGCTGCAGCCGCCACCGTCACCAGCTGGGCGTTCGCCGCACTGGTCATGTCATGTCATGACTGGTGGCACAGGACGTGTTTGGCCCCCGAAGGTGGTGGGCCCCCGTGGTGGCCCCCTTGCTGTCGTGTTCTCCGTTATCGGCAACACACCAATAGCTAACGAGTATGTCCCACATCGCGATTACTACTAGTACTGGTACAACTGCTAGTACTAGCACCAGTATTAGCAGGAGCCGCACTAGCACAGAGGGGCATGTTGGCTCGACCCCCCCCCCCCCCATGATGATGATGATGATGATGCGCCTGTTACTAGCTCTGCAGCGTGATGATGCTGGCTGGTGCTGCAGCTGCAGCTGCTCTTGCTAAAGCTCTGTGTGCCCTGCAATCCAATTGTTATGGTTGCGGCTTTGGTGCGGCTTTGGTGCGCCCGGTGGCCTGGTGGCGAAGTGGGCGATGGGGGGGTTTCCTTCGTTGGGCCGCGTGTGCCCGCAAGGTGAAGCTGAAGGTGAATGTGCTTCTGTGGCGGTGGGTGGCGCGGGGCGGCGTACTCGGGGGGGGGGGCATAATGGCATTGCTTGATGCCTTGAAGATGGTGGCTGGTGTGGCGGTAGGTGGTGCGGGAGGGAGAGGCGTCCAACCCCATTGCAACTTAGCTCTGCTACACCGCCTCTTTCTTGCGGCGTTGTCGTTCGCATCTTCATCATCTCATCATCAACATCAACACTGTGGTCATTGGATTTGGATTTTTGTTACCCACCTATGGAGCTTCCTGTGATTTGAGAGTTGAGCTAGCAGTGACAGGTAACTACGACAACAACAACATCAACAACAACAGCAATACTGACAGTGACGCCGGTATGTACGTACGGCACGTACGGGGCAGCTGCGTCAGGAGGGACGTGATTTTTAGACTTCTTCGACCGCGCAACTGATCATTTGTGACAATCGTTTGTGACCACACCTGCATCGTGTCCGTTGTCGTTTGTGCGCAAAGAGACTCCTCGCGCCGTGTGGCTCTGGGCGTTCTGACGATGTCGGCTGCTGACTTTCGTACCGCGAGTGGCGAGTGGGTGGGATATGCCGTTTTGTGAAAGAATGCGAAAATGCTTTTCTTTCTTTCTGCCTCTTTAGTCACTAGTGAGATGTGCAATGACGAGGGCGAGGGCCAAATGGATATTATGACTGTACACGGCAGTACGGAGACCGCACTTGTGGGGTGTCCTTGTGTTCTCCTCCTGCTGCTGCTGCTGCTGCTGCTGCTGCTGCGGGCCATGACGGTAATGGTCATGATAATGAGGCGGAGGGGGAGGAGGCAGGGGAGGTATTGCGACAACTGTTGATGCTGTAAATGACGATGATGGTGGTGGCAGCGGAGGACTGTTCGAATGGTGACTGTTCGAACTGAGGTTCCCGTGCGGCTGCCTGCTCCGCTCCCTGGTGTTGGGGCCCCGCTCCCTGTTGGGGCAATGACTGACCAGTTTCTTGTATCTTGTTTGGCTCTTTGCATCGTAATGAGATCGGAAGTGCGTCTGTCGGGAGTTTGGGGGCTCTTCATTTGTGCTATGTTTCTGATCTTCAGCCGCGTCCTTAGTCTCACTGTACAGACTGTAGTGTAGTGTACTATGCACCTGGGTGGATACCACGTACCCGGTACTTCACTCGGCGGGTGATGTGATCACTGGCGCACTGGCTGGCTGGCTGGCTGAGAGGCTGGAGGGGGAGGGAGGGAGTGTCTGCCAGGTAGGTATGCCAGGTGAGCTGCTGACGTACCTCTGGGCTGTAAGGACCTCTGTACCCTCATCATCATGCGGGTGGGCCGTGCCCTCGGCACCGCATTACCGGAGGGCGGGAGGGACGGGGTCCGGGGTAACGATTCTTATTGTCCTATGTGGATGTATGTATGTATGCAACAAGGAAACAAGCATCCCGTCCCCCTCCCTCGGGACCGGCTGCACCTCGAATGGTTGTGGTTACAATAATGATGATAATGATGATGTAACGGTGAAGTCGGATTTGTAGAGGCGCGCTGTTATGAAATGACATGACTAGTAATGCATCTTCCTACCGTTACTTCGAACTTGCAATCGACCGCACCGTTATTTACTAACGGCACCATCACCATCAGCAGCAGCACCACCACCCTCCTTTTTCCTGTGTTATTTTCCTTCCCGCCTGTCTGAATGTTTTTCACAGCTTTCAATTTGGCGGCGTTGCTTTCTGCGTTACCTGACTAATGCCGCCTTCGTGACATGACCGCCGTCGGAGGTGACGACTCTTGGTGGTGGTGGTGGTGGTGGTGGTGGTGACTCGGCCAGTTGGCTGGGGAAGTGCTGGTCGAGTGGTGGCGTGCGTGGCGCACCGATTTCGCTCCATTACTGTCCGTCTGTCTGTCTGTCTGGCCCTTTCTTTCCCTTATGTTCGCTCCTTCCCTCCTCTGTCTCTGGATGTGTCGTACGACGTTGAAGACCACCTGAAGCTCCGCGACAGCGCGGCAACCACCACGATGCTGCATCCGTACTGATACTGCATATCACGATCGATCGATCGATGTGACAATTTGCGATTGATAACGACCCAACGACACACCGGTGCGGTGCGGCGCACACCGCAGATATTCGAACCTTAACGCCTCTCTTCCTCTTGCATTTTTGTACCCTACCCATACATACATACGTATGTACGTACATGATACCCATATGGGTTCGTTGGTAGTTATCTCCGGGAGGTGTTAAGGGGTTTCCTGAAGGACATCCTCCTCTTTCTGATGATGATCTTTTTCCATACATAGCGTCATGGGTTCGGGTTGTGGAGCCGCACGGACTATCTCTCACTGCGGCACTGCGGCCCGCACTCCAGCTTTCTGGCCGTGGCGGGGTTGCTGACGGGTGTTTACGGACGGCCTGTTTCGGGCGTGATGTAGTTTGTGCTGCTTGTTAGGTGGTGTGCTGCTGTGCTCGCGAGGGCTCTGGACGAGCATGGAAGAGTACGTCATCAGGAATATGGTAAACTCCTACCCCAGGACCATGGTTTGCGATTGTCATTCTTTATTGGATTGGATGCAGATGTGACGAGGAGGTGGTAGCGGCAAACGGAAGGCGGAATTGACCACCCACTCACCCCACTCACCCTACCCGCCCCATGGTAGTGTTGCCGGCGGTTACTGTTGTGTTGTGGCACTACGGTAGTGTGAACCGTGAACCAGGGTGGCGCTCAGTAAGTTGTTTGATGGCCCTGAGGCCCTGAGCGGCGTCATCTGCCCTCGATGACGTGTGTAAGCATATGACTGGATAGACCAGGTCGCCCTATATTCAACGTTTTAAGGTTGTACAGTGACAGGTTGTACAACACGGCGTCTTTCCCCACATCCGCCCCTCAGCAGCACCGTGACGAATCATGTATATTACGCATCCAGCTGCGTCCTTCAGTCGTCTAGTGCTGTGTGTCAGTTCTCTCGGCTGTGTCGGTGCGGCCGCGCGGGACAGCGCTGCGTGCGCTCAGACCGCGCAGCGCGTGTGGCGCCAGAGCGCGCTTCGGCGCACACACGTCCCTGGCGCGCCGAGGGCGGCAGCAGTACTGCAGTAGTGTAAGGCCACAGCTTGGCAGCCCCGGTTCCGCCTCGCTCTGTCCGATTCGTAACCTCGAACGCGGCAGTACAGCAAGCCGTGAGGGCCATATATCATGTAATAGGACATACATGGCATATCACAGTATCACAATCGACGGCAAAACGTGTCGGCAGCCGCATGTTTCCAGTTCCCCCGCCTTTGCACTATCTGCAAGCAGCCCATATGTCAGACCCAAACCCCAAGTAAGGAGTAATACGCGGAGGTGGACGGATGACTGCTGGTTCCGAACACCATGAATTGACCCGGGGGTACTCTGTGCAGAACTGCCGCGTCGACACGAAGTTGCTGTTTGCTGAGCTGACCATCTCCAGCTCCCATGCTGAGCTGCATTTGACTGCTCGCCTTAGCGGCTCGTCAGCAGGACATTCCATCAGCACGTGCAGCTCGTCTTCTGTGGAGGAGGCCAGGTAGAAGAGGCTGATGAGCATGTTGACCACCTTCGTACGGTTCTGGAGCGGTTGCAGCAACATCAGTACTGCGGCAAACTCTCGAAACGTGAGTCCCTTAAGCGCTCTGTCCCTTTCTTGAGACATATGGTTCGCCTGAGGGTGTTCGCCCTGACCCGCGCAATACTGCTGTCGTACAAGGCTCGCCGGCTGGAGCCCCGGAACAAAGAATGTGATCGCGCTTCTCGTCCCGGAGGTCGGCGGGTTGCAGAGCGGTCAGGATGCAGTGGAGGGTCGGGCACAGATACGGGTAGGAAAGAGTAGGATAGAAATGTGGACCCCCCGCTGATAAGGATGGCAGAGGGCCCAGGAAGGCGGTATGTTTGGAAGGGTCCACGCCAACCCACCAAGGATGAGGATGGCGGAGGGGAGGGGAGGGGATGCAGCCACAGGATGTTTGGCTTGAGGATAGGAAAGGGGTTTGTAGGATGTATCGAAAACCTAACCGACAGGATGCGTGCCCGGACAGGGCCCCCAGGATGCGGGGATGGGGCGCCGCTCTGCAACCGTCCTAGCATGTCAAGAAGGCCTTGCTTTCCGCTCCTCTATTGGCCCTTCCGAATCGTCGCTGCCTTATGAGGTTATCGTTGATGCGTTGGACCATGCCATAGGTGCCATTCTGTTGCGCAAGACGGGTCGTCCGATTGCTTGCGGAAGTCGTAAGTTGATTCCTGCCGGACGTAACTTTACCACACTTCTGATCATGAGTTGCTGTCTCTCGTGTATGCCATCAAAGTTTGCTGCTACTATTCGGAAGGTTCACTGCTGTCACTGACCACAAGCCGGTAGAGGCAGGGGAAACCCACGGAAGGGACCCCCACCACGCGGGTCACGGAAGTCACGTAGCCGCAGTTTGCCTGTCATGGCCGCGGTAGCTGGTGTGCCACATGAATTGGCAGCACAACAGGTCGCGTAGTAACAGCAGCCGGGCTAGGGAGGTGGTGGAAGCCTGGAATCCGGACCAGAGGTGATCCATGAGGGTGGTGAAGTCGCTAGGGCTAAGTGGTACGGCGGCTTGCTCCTCATAGCCACGGTCGGCTGCGAGGCGACTATAGCCAGTCTTGTAGGAGGACAAGGCGCTGGAGCAGCAGGGGTTGCCGATGCCGGTTACACGGTCGTAAGTGCTGCCACGGCCCAAGCGGTTAAACAGTCCGGAGAGCAGACCCAGATGATTGTTGACGGTGTTGGGACTCGGGTCGTCCACACGACGATTGGGGAGCCAGTGCGCCTCCAGGTAGACGAGTAGGTCGTCATCAGTGCAGGACAGCATGGTACGGCCATGGGGCAGGGAGGCCAGCCATGCAGAGAGGTCACGACCGGCAGCCTCCTGACGGGCAATGGTTTCACGAGCCAACGAGTTGTCGCAGACGGTG